TTTTTTTTTTTTTTGGTTGCTTAAAATGAAGGATTTGCATTACTGGTAATAGTAGCTTGGGGAGGGAGGCTCTAATCCTGGATGTAATCTCCATAATTCCTCTAAACCCGTCACAAATAAACATACAGTCTAAGTAGAATAGCATGCTTGCCATGCAACCCAGTTTCAGATTATATCCGCTACCTATCCCAGAATGCAACCCTTACTGTCTTCTGTATTGAAATTCTGGAAGTCAGTGAGCATGACTCACTAACATTATAGATGTTGATTACAAGTATCTGAAAAATAAAAGAATTATGGTGAAGCAACAATAATATAGGTTTGAATTAAATTTTCTCTTTTAATACACTTTCAAGTCTTATATCTCTGCTAGGCACAGGGTAAGGGCTAGATTTTTTTCCTTCCAGCGATGATATTCAAATATTTATCATATCTTTTTTTTCTTTAGGATCATGCAGATTGAAGTTACACACTTTTTTTTTTTTTGACTTTGATGAACAGAAATTTATTGTCTCACAGTTAGGGGGCTAGAAGTCCAAATTCAGGGCACCAGCTCTAGGGTAAGGCTATCTGTCAGCTCTGGGGAAAGATCCTTGTCTCAGTTCTTCCGTTCCTTGATGATCTCCATGTGGTATCTGTGTTTCCCCAGTTTGTGCCTTGCTTGTCTCTGTGTCTGTGCCACTCCTTGCAAGTCAGAAGTGATTAGGGTTAGGACACACTCTACACTGATAGGGCCTTATTAGCATAACAAAGAAAACCATGTTCCCAACGAGAATGTTGACATCCACAGGTATGAGGGGGTAAGGATTCCAGCACATATTTTGAGGGGGCACAATTTAATCCATAACCTTCCCCACTTCCCGTTTCCTCTTTTTTTTTTTAAATAATACTATGTTTGAGGTGAACGTTTCCACAGCAAATTAGGTTCCCTTTAACAATTTTTATACAAATTATTCTGTGCCATTGGTTACAGTTTTCACAATGTGTCAGCATTCTCATTATTTCCATTCCATTTGTTCAGTTTTCATTGATTTAGCTTCCCTTCCCCTCCTTGTCTTCTCACCTTTGCTTTTGGGTAAATGTTGACCATTTGGCCTCATATAGTTCATCATTTAAGGGAGCGCAATACTCACAGATGATACTGTTTATTTCATAAGCTAGTCTGTCATTTGGCTGAAAGATGACCTACAGAAATAGTTTCAATTCCATGTTCCAAGGTTATTTTAGGGCGATAGTCTCGGGGGTTCCTCTTTATCAGTCCAGTAGGTTTGGCCTCTTTTAAGAATTTGTGTCCCTGGTCAAAATGGTTGGTAGTGGTAGCTGGGCACCATCTAGTTCGTCTGGTCTCAGGTTAGAAGAAGCTGTGGTTCGAGTGGGCTGTTAGTCCCGTGGATTAGTTTTTTCTCTGAGCCTTTGATTTCCTTAATTCTCTTTTGCTCCAGATGAGTAATGACCAATAGTTTTATCTTAGATGGCTGCTTGCAAGCTTTTAAAACCCCAGATGCTGCTCACTAAAGTAGGATATAGAATATTGTATTTGTGAACTATGTCATGCCAATTGACTAAGTTGTCCCCCGAGACTATGGTCCCAAGCCTTTTAACCCAGTAAACTAATCCCACAGATTGGTTGGATGTATATCTAGGAAGCCTCTGTAACTGTGCCCCTTATGTGGTTTGTTATATATGTGGATATATATGCAGCACATATAAATTTGTATATAATATGCCTACAGATGCACCTATACATGCATGTGCATTTACTCATGTATGCCTTTCTATACACATATATGCATCCATATCTACCTGTGTAACCACACACGTGTTTTGGTTGTTTTTACTGTTGTTGCAAAATTATATATGTTACAGCATTTACCGAAATTGTCCCTTTTTTTGGTGTACTTCCTAGTGTCTTTTTTTGTAAGTTGTGGTGACTTCACCCATATTTGGTCTTGCCTTTCCCATCACCAGAAGTAGCAAGTATCTACTATCTAGAGAGTGATTCCCTCTTCTTTCCCTCTCAGCCCTGGTAACCATCAAACAACTTTGCTTTCTCTGTGTGTATCTAATCTTGACTTTTTATGATAGTGGGACTATACAATTTTTGTCTTTTTTGATTGACTTATTTCACTTGAAGTTATACACTTTTTATTTGATTAGGAAGTACACAGTTGGGTAGATACTAGTGATATTTTGGTTTTATCAATTTTGATCATGATCAATAGTCACTATTAAAAACTCGATCATTTCATTTATACTATTTAGATTGAGTGAATAGAGAATTAGCTCTAGTATATTGAATATATTTGGAAATTTCTTACAAGGCCTTCAGGGTCCTGGAAAAACATATAGTACCCACTTAGTTCATTTTTGTGGCAATAAATCTGTTATAGTGGTACCAGCTTGTTTATGATTGGGTGAAAATAATTCAAGCAGTTACATATTTACTGAGTTTTTTCTGTGTGCCAGGCACTTCACTGGGCAGTATCATTATAGTAGAGAACAGTACATGTGGTAATCAGTATTATCCCTAGTTTCATAGAGTACATAATCTATCAATAAAGACTTGCATTGGAGTAGGCACAAGTGAGATGGGTTTAGAGAGGAGGAAATTGAGGCTACAGTGGAAGCATTGGGATCTAACTCCTTTGGGGGTCAAGAAAGTCTTCTGGTGGAGGCCCTGGGGGAGGAGGAGCAGCTAGGTCAAGATACAAAGGGCTGTGGATAAGAGATACCAGCACCATGAATAAAAGCTCTAAGGCAGAGATGCTAAGCAAGATAAGTTCTGAAAACTGTCTATTGGATTTTTAGCAACAAAGAAGTCATAGTGAAACAACTAGAAAAGAAATAACGAGAATGTTGACACAACGTGAAGAACATAACCAGTGGTGATCATTATGTCTAGACACTATGGGATGGGAGCAGGTTTTGCTGTGTATATTTTCACCAAAAATAAAGTATTATTAAAAAAAAAAAGTCATAGTTAATCTTTGTGGGGACAGATTTGATGGGAGCTGGTTGAAGTATAAGTGCAAGATGAGGAAATTTTATAAAGAAGAGAGGAATATAGGGCTAGGCTTAGTTGATTTGTAGGACAGTTTGAGTCCACTACAGTTGAAAGACGTTTTATTTTAACTTCCTTATTTTCCTGCCTTTATTGATTAGATGCACCATTTTTATTCTGTGCATTTATTTTTCTTTCTTTTGCTCTTTTTCCTCTGGTCTTCCAAACACAATACCTATTCTTGATCTCTTGTTGGGGCTGTTCAGACAGGATTCATTGACACTTTAAAAAAATTCACATAATTGACCTGGAGTTGTGGAATTTAGCCAAGGGCAAGATTTAATCTTTGCTTGGACCTGAGTGAATCAGAGTGAAAAATCACTTGACACTTCGGTAATCATAGGAATAGTAATTAATTTCCAACCGAATTTAGATACTCTCATTTTCTTTAACATTTAAATTCATTTTCATTTCTGTCAATGACTAGAGAATCATAAAATATATTCCCTTTAGAAATATCTTGTAAGAGGTATAGCTAAGTGAGGTTTAGGGTTTTGTGACAAAGAACCCTTCCATGATTCAGTACCATTTCCAGATTCTAGTGTGATTTATACTGCAGGCATTTTCATACTGCTGGAAAATGTACCTGATCATCTGCTTCTTAATGTTCCTTTGGTAGATCTTGTGTTCTTCCTTTCTT